AACAACAACAACAACAACAATCATGATGTTGCCTATTGGTCAAGTGGTAAGGTATTTTGCCTTCTAGATGGTGAAATGTCAACCAGACTATATTATTTTAATAATAAGACTGTATTGTTTTGTCTTCTGCAGTAAGTACTATATGTCTTCTTCACTTTCTGCAAGCAAGGTTGTGCTATCTAATAATGCAGATTGTTGATGAGTGTTTTTCCAATCCTGATGCCGCATTCTTTAGAGAGTCCACCTTCTTGAATGATTTGTTCAGCATACAGACTGAATAGGTGTGGAGAAAGGGTACAGCCCTGACACACATCTTTCCTGAATGTAAGCCATTCTTGTTTGAAAATTGCTTTTTGGTCAAATACAGATTTTGCATGTTGTTGTTGTTGTTAAGTGCCGTCGAGTCATAGGTGACTCATAGCGACCCTATGAAGGAGAGTCCTCAACACTTGTGTGACTTTCACCCTCTCTCCAGGTTCATAGGGTTTCCGGAGGCAAGCTATTACGGAAGTGGATGCCACTCCTGCTTCCAAGCTTGTTTTAATTGGGGAGCTGCCCCAAACACTGTCCACCATGGGTAACCATTATCACATTTGACACATCAGTGTCACAGTGTTCAGCTTCACAGCAGCCACAAGTTACCGCTGTACAGCAAATGGACACACCAGGGCTATATGACCTAGAAGAATGTTTGAACAAAAACAATAAAAGACAGGCCTGAGACTGATTTTACATGAGTGTAAGTAAATGTTCTGGAATTTCCATTTTTCTCAATACTATCTATAATTTTTTTATGAGTCAGACAGTCAAATGCCTTCGCTTAGCTAATTAATCTAAAGTAAGCAGTTTTCTATTCTCTTCTGCTTTTAGCCATGATCCATTTAACAATATAAGCAATTATATCTCCTGTTTCACAATCTTTCTGAATCAGCTAAAACATCAAGAAAACAAAGATTCTCACTACTGGTCCAATTGACAGCATCATGATAGACGGCAAAGAGATTGAGATTGTTAACAGTTTTCATTTGCTTGGTTCCACAATCAACACTCTTGGTAACAGCAGCCAGGAAATAAAAATATGAATTGCGTAGGGAACGTCTGATGTCAGGGACATCTTCAGAGTGCTGAAGAGAAATGATGGCCGTCTGAAGATGAAGGTACACCTGATCCAGGCCATGGTCTTTGCAATACTAACTATGTGCCCAAAAGCTGAACCATGACTAGGGATGATAAAAGGAGAACTGATGCATTTGAGCTGCAGTGCTGAAGAAGAGTATTGAATATACCAAGGACTGCTAGGAGAACAAACGGATTCACACACGAGAGGGTGAAACCAGGCTGCTCCTTAGAGGCAAGGGTTCTTAAACTCTGTCTGACATAACTTGTACATGTTGCAAGGAGAGACCTGCCCTTGGAGAGGGAAATTAAGCTTGGGAAGGTAGAGGAACAGCACAAGAGAGGAAGATCCTGGATGAGATGGACTCAGTGACTGGGGTAATGTGGGTAGGTGTGTCAGAGACAATAAGATTGGCTCAGGATAGAGCAAGATTCAGAGCTGATGTACACAGGGTCACTATGAGTTGCAGGCAACTCAATGGCATATAACAATAACAAAAACAACAATACAAATTACTTAGATCCACAATCAAAACCCACGGTACCAGCAATTGGGAGATCAGGAGACTTACTGCATTAGACAAGTCCAGTGCAGGGACCTCTCCAAAGTACTGAGAATTAATGATGTCAGTTTGAAGATTCAGGTGCTCTTGATTCAAGCCATGGTATTTTCCTTCACTTGTTATGCATCTGAGAGCTAGCTAATGAATAAGGATGACAAAAGAAGAGTTGATACCTTTATGCTGTGATGTTAGGGAAGAGTACTGAATATCTCATGGACTACCAAAAGAACAAACAGCTATGTCTTGGGAAAAGTGCAGCCAGAATGCTCGTTGGAGGCAAGGATGCAGACACTTTGTCTTACACACTTTGGGCACTTTAGTAGGTGAGGCTATTTCTTGCAAAGGGATAAGGCTGGAACAGTGGTGGGTCGGTGTAAGAGAAGAAGACCCTCAAAGAGATGGATTGACATAGTGACTGCAGTAATGGACTCAATTGTGTTAGAAATGATGATGATGGCACAGGATAGGACAGATTTAAGATCTGATGAGTCAAAGTCTGCTGTTAGGGACCTCTCCAAAGTACTTAAGAGCAATGGTGTCACTCTGGAGACTAAGGTGCGTCTGATACAGGCTATGGTCTTTGCAATCACTTGTTATGCATCAGAGAGTTGGACAATGACTAAGGAGGATAGAAGGAGAATTGATGCCTTTGAGCTGTGGTGCTGGAGAAGAGTTTTGAATGTACCATGGACTGCCAAAAAAACCCCCAAACAGATTCATCCTGGAGAGGGTTAAACCAGGCTGCTCCTTGGAGGCAAGGATTCTGGGGCTTCGTCTGACATACTTTGGATTTGTTGTAAGGAGGGACAGGTCCTTGGAGAGGGACATCATGCTTGGGAGGGTGGAGGGCCGGCACAAGAGGGGAAGACTCTCTATGAGGTGGATTGATTCAGTGACTGGAGTAATCTGGATGGGTGTGTCAGCGGCAGTGAGATCGGCACAGGATAGAGCAGGGTTTAGGTCTGTTGTATATAGGGTCGCTATGAGTCGCAAGCGACTCGATGGCACGTAACAACAACAACAATAAGAAGTCATATTGGACTCGACAGCACCTAAAAACAATAACAACAGTATGAATTTCTGGCAGTTCCCTGCCAATTTACTGTTCCAATCATTTTCAAATAATCTTCAAGATTTTCCTTGCATATGATACCAGTGATATTATTTGACAATTTCCACACTCAGTTGGAGTATGTTTTTTTTTATGTTATACTAGTTTACATACAAAGTTCATAAAATTAGTATACATTATTTTTCACACTGGCTCTTTCCCCTTTCGTTTACCTATCCCTCCCTCCATTCATCAAATTGCATGACACTAAGATAAAGTCCCCCTCCCTGTCCCCATTGTATCCTCATACTCATTCTATAATAATGGTCTATTCTATAATATATTCTATAATAATGACATATCACAAAGAATTAATCTCTAAACTTTCTGGAAGACACAAGGAGGCTGTAAATTGCCCTGAAGGAAATGATTAATCTTTCACTCTCAGAGTCGTTGGTGGATTCAAAACATCAGAGAGGAGCAGCCTTTGGGGTTAGTTGCACAACTCCCTGGAGACTTGCTACCAAGCTCCCTAACCAAGTATACATATGCCTTAAAGGCAGTGATTCTGTCCGTGGATATAAACCAAACAGAAAATATTCCACCAAAAGGTATGTGCATGATAGAGTGGAGTGGACCTGGGGGAGGGATTGTAAAACAATGAAAGAATTTTTCTTTTACTTTTCCAAGAGGGTAGTGTACAGGGGGAAGGGTTGGGAGGGGAGAAAAGTGCAACAATGAATAAATGGAAATCCAAAGTCTCTGTAAATGTTCATTGAAATTAATAATAAATTTAAAACAAAAAGAGTAATGCAACTAACAAGCTGGTATAGGACACACATGAGGGAAATGAAGGGGGAGGGAAGGAGGGGTTAATCTGTATGTATATTAATCTGTAATCCATATGAGTGAATGAAAAACTCAATTTATTTGTCACGTTCCATTCAAATCACAATAAAAAATGTTGAAATAAAAATGATTTTGTTACAGTTATATTTGCCACAATTGGAAAGAAAAAAGATCAGTCTCACCACTTGGTGCTTACCTCACAAAGGCCAAGTAGCAGACCCTTGCACGCAGTTTGGGTGACCGAAATATTTCAAAAACTGGTGTTTTGTTCTGGGCTCCATCCAACTCTTGCTGCATGATGGATTTCACAAACTATAGCAACAAACACATATGAGATTTCAGTCAAGTTCCAGGCGCAGAGGTAAACACTATGTAATGAGATAGACCTGTTTCCTTACCTGAGTAAGAAAACACAATGTCTAAAGAGGAGAAAACCAGAGATAGGGGTGCAGGGCCATGAGTGTCTTTCTAAAAGGGTCAGAGGGAGTAAGAATAGCACAGCCCCAGAGCAGAAGGCAGATAAAGAGCCTGTAGCCCAGCCCCATGATACTTCTAGAGCCACATGAATAGCAAGAGGTTTGTTTTTGTTGCTGACTCACAGACTCACAGTTATGGTACTGAGAATGAGGTTTATTTGGGAAGTAAGTTGGCGAGTAGAGGAAACAAAGTATATCACCCAATACAAGTCCAGGTAGTAGCCCAAGTTTCAAGGGAAAATTCTTCAATTGGTCCAGGCTTCGATTTCAGGTCACCAGCCAAATCCAAATCATCCAGCAAGGTTTTTTCAGAGCTCCCTCTTCAAACATCCAGCTGGAACAGCAAAAATCTTTAACTGTGACCAGCACACATGCAAGTAGCCTCAGGTCACACCTTGCCACAGTTCCCCCACAGCAATACCACAGTCTCTCCTCCACCACCACAAGAGTCTTGCTCCAGTCTCCCTCAAGTCTTGTTGCCTCAAGTCTTGCTGCTCAGGGTGGTTAGCACTCTTTTCCTTGTCCTAGTCCCACAGCTGTTGATGATTTGCAAGACTTTGCTGATTTGCAACACCATGTGTATGCAGTTAAGGTAGCTGGAGACCAGAGGGGACTGATTGTAATGGGGGGAGGCACCAATTTTTAGGCTAATACCACACACAGATCTTAAATAATCCCATGTAAAGTAGGTTTGCCCCCCCTTTTAATATATGGGAGCTTTTGATGCATAAGCTTTCTTTTTAGAAAGAATCAGTCTTTTAAAGAAGTTCCACTTAAAAGATCGAATATGGATCTCTTCCAGTTTGTTTTTTAAAAAGCAGTTTGACTGCATCTATGAACAGAATTGTTGGAGAAGCTATGAGCGGTCAAAACCAGGCCAGGTGCTCACTATGGAACAGATCATCAACAACTCATGTGTAAGTTCAAATGAAACTTGAAAAATGAAGAAAGGTCCACAAAAACCTTGAGTTCATCCTACTTGAATTAAGACATTATTTCCAGAATAGACTTGAGGCATTAAGCACTAATGATCGAAGAAAAAAATGAGTCATGGGATGACATAAAAGATATTATTTGTGAAGAGGGCAAAGGTCATTAAAAGACAAAAGAGGAAGAAAAAACCAAAATAGGTACCAAAAAAGACTCTGAAAATTGTGCCAGAGTGTCAAGAAGCCAAAATAAAGGAATGAATTGGTGAAGTAAAAGAGATGAATAGAATATTTCAAAGGAGCACCTCAAGAAGGCATAGAGCTAAAGTTGGAAAATCGAAAGGGAAGAACTTGCTCAGCATTTCTAAAGTTGAAAGAACTTAAAAAACACATTTAATCCTTGAGTTGCAATGCTGAGATGCTATGAGAAAAATCTTGATCCAGGAAGCATCAGAAGAAGACAGAAGGAATACACGGAATCACTGTATGAAAAAGAGTTGTTTGACACTGAAAAATTTCAGGAAATACCATATGATCAAGAGTGAATGGTAATGAAGGAAGAAATTCAAGCTGTGCTGAAGGCATTGGCAAAAAAATAAGGTCACAGGAATTGATAGAATACCAACTGACATATTTCAACTAACAACAAATGCTGCCCTGGACATACTCACCAGTCCATGCCAGGAAATTTGGGCTACTGACTAGAAAGTATCTATATTTATTCCCATTTCCAAGAAGGGCCATCTAACAGAATGTGGAAGTTATTGAGCAATATCATTAATGTCACATACAGACAAAATACTGCTGGAAACAAGATAGAACAGTACACGGAGAGAGAACTGACAGAAGTTCAAGCAGGGTTTAGAAGAGGCTGTGACGCCAGGGCTATCATTGCTGATGTTGGGTTTACTGAAAGCAGAGGATACCAGGAGAATGTCTATTTGTATTTTATCAACTATGCAAAGACATTTGACTGTGTGGATCATAACTAACTATGGCTAACATTGAGAAGAATGGGAATCCCAGAACAGTTTATTGTGCATATACAATACTTAGACCTAGATCAGGAAGCTGTTGTCCGAACAGAACAAAGGAAAATTACACAGGTTAAAATTTGGAAAGGTATCATCAGGGTTGTATCCTTTCTCCATGCCTTTTCCATCTGTATGTTGATTAAATAATTTGAGAAGCTAGACTCTATGCCGATGAATGTGGCATCAGGATTGAAGGAAGACTCATCAACAACCTGCATTATGCAGAGGACATGACCTTGCGAGCCGTAGGTCAGAAGGACGTGAAATTCTTGTTGCAGAAGACCAAATACTACAGCCATCAGTATGGACTGCATCTTAACACTAAGAAAACAAAAATCCTCACCACAGTACCAACAAGCAACATCATGATAGATGGAGAAAAGCTTGAAATTGTCAGTGAACAAAGTAAGAAATCTTACTTAGATTCACAATCAACACACTTGGTACCAGCAGTCAGGAGATCTGGAGATGTGGTGCTTTGGGAAAGTCCTATGACATGGACCCTTCTAAATTACTGAGGAACAACTAAGGTGCACCTAATTTAAGCCATAATCTTTTCAATCACTTGTTACGCGTCTGAGAACTGGATGATGAATAAGGATGGCAGAAAAAGAATTGATGCCTTTGAGTGGTGGGTTTGGAGAAGAACACAGAATATCCCATGGATTACAAACAAAACAAGTCTTGGAGAAGGTACAGTCAGTTTTGCTCCTTGTTGGCAAAGATGACAAAGTTTCATCTCACGTCCTTTGGGCATGATGTTAAGAAAGGGTATTTCTTGGAGGACATCATACTTGGAAAGGTGGAGGACCAGTGAATGAGAGGAAGATCCTTAACCAGATGGATTGACACGGTGACTGCAGCAGTGGGGGCAAGCATGTCAGAGGATGTCGCAAGATAGGACTGGGTTCAGATCTGCTGTTCATAGAGCTGCTATAAGTCACCCTCAATTAGAAGGCACCTAGCAACAATGGCTAGTCTTTGGCCAGGCAGTTGTCTTCCAAATTTCTTAGCACAGCCTAGTGAGCACTTCTACAGCTGCACCTGTTTGTTGTAATTTGGTATTTTGTCAATGAATCTTGGCTGTATGCTTGATAAATTTCATCCCATACAAGTTCGTAGAAATCCTAAATTTCTTCTATGGCTTTGGTTATAGAGGAGTATATTTGAATAATAGTTGTATTAACAGGCCTTTCTTGTATATATATGGACAGTTCTTATCACAGCAAAGAACTTAGGATAGATCTTGAAATGGTCTCTTTGACTGACTATGAATGCATTATCATTCTTCAGTTTTTTTATTCCTAGCAGGGTAGATCATATGATTGTCTGATTCCAAGTGGCCACGCCAGTCCATCTCATGTCACTAATGCCTAGAATGTCAATCTTTATACATTCCATTTTATTTTCAACAACTTCCAATTCTCCTAGATTTGTATTTTATGTATTTCATAAACCAATTATTAATGATGGGTTGCAGAGGTTTCTCTTCGTTTTAAGTGTTTTCCACTCAAAGGGCTCTACCCTTATTATTATCGTCGATCATTCTAATTCCGGTCTCATTTCTATCACTAAGTCCTTAATTTCTGACTACCAGTCCTTATTTGAATTCCTCTATTGTTCACAGAGTTTTCAAAGGCTGCTTATTTCAGAAGTGGATGGCTAGTTCTTCTTAGTCTATCTTAACCTGGAAGTTCCACTGAAATATGTCCATTATGAGTGACCCAATTGGTATTGAAATACAGGTGGCACAGCTTTCAGTATCACAGCAGCCAGTTAGTTACTCACTCCAGTACAGCAATTGACAGATGAGTGCTGTATTCATAAAAGCAAACTATGACAAAGCAAGATATACGTACACAAACTATAAAGTAAACAGTACCGTGCAAGGCACTTCCCCAGCACAGCAAACTGTACCCCTACTAGCAAACTATGAAAACAAGCAAGTGAGCAGATATCAAGCAAACTCTTGATATCAGATATAAATCATATTGAATAGGTATGGAGAAAGGAAAAACCTTGATGCATATCTTTCTGGATTTTAAACCACACAATGTTCCCTTGTTCTCATAGAACAGCTGCTTGTTTTCTGTAGAGGTTTTGCATGAGCACAGTTATGTGTTCTGGGATTCCCATTTCCCCCAATAATTTGTTATGATTCACACAGTCAATTGTCTCTGCATAGTCAGTTAAGAACACAAGTAAATCTCTTGCATGCATTCTTTGTTTTCAGTCAAGATCCATCAAACTGCACCATTGATAACCTTCATTCCACCAAATCAAATTGGAATCCAGTTTGAATTTCTAGAAGTTTTCTGTGGATGTACTGTTCCAGTCATTTTTAAAGGATCATCAGCAAGATTATACTTGTATTTGCTAGTAATGATATATTCAGTAATTTTCACACTCTTGTGGATCACCTCTGATGAGGATGGCAACAAATGTGGATCTCTTTCCATATTGATCAATTGCTGAGGTAGCTGTCTTCTAAATTTCTTGTTATAAACTAGTTGCAGGCTGCTTCTGTTTGTTGAATCACCTCAATTGGTTCAAATTGTGTATAAATCTCTCCTTTGCTTTTAAAATTGTGGTGGTCTGACGCCACAGCCTTTTTGTCACTGACTTCTTTTACGTCAGGAGTGCTGGTGGCTTAGTCTGTAGAAAGCTGCATTGCTGAACCAAAGGCTCCAGTCTTTTAATGGTTTAAATCTGAATAAGAAAAGTGGTCGTCTCCTCTCATATGATTTATAGCTTCAGAAACCCAGTGGAGTGTTGGCTATAGTTGATCCTGATGCAACAATGAATAAACGAGAGAATAATTAATATACAGGCTGTGTAGGGAGCTTTAGTGGCCTAGTAAGAAGTAGTTGCCCTGTCAACCCAAAGGCACATGCTTCCAATCCCCTACTCACTCTGGGGCGGCCTGGGTTCCACTCAGGGCAGAGTTCCACTCCAGGCCTGGGAGGGGTGGGCTCCTACCCCTGGGGGTGGGGGGCAGGTGGCATAGGTCAGCAGATGAATTGTGAGAAATTTTGTCCACTATCTCATTAAGTCTCCATAAGATTTCTTTAATTCTGCTCTTTTGTCCTTCCAAAGTGATATCTATTTCTGCTATCTTACCTTTAATATTCAGGATTTCAATTTTCTATTTTTGATTTCTTCTAATTTCCCATTTTTATTACATCGGTCTTAAAATTCTTTTATTTTTTCTGAATTTGTAGTAAACACTTAACTGTCATTTATTCTAATTGCTTATCAGAGAGTACTAATGACTTTTCTTCCTTTGAAAGACTTACTGCTTCTTTATTTTGATTGCTTTTTATACGATCTTATTCTGATATGTTGAGTGGTTTGATGTTATCTGTTGTCTCTGACAACTGGTAGTGTTTTTGTATTTTTTGGGTTTGGGGTATCTGGGTAAACTATACAAGTGTGTTGTGTGGGTTGGTAGTTCGTGCTTTACCACCTGTCTTCTGCCGAATCTGAGCCCTCTCTATAACTTTAAATATTATTTACACTCTGAATGATCATGACTGAAAAGCTCAAATCTCTAGTGTGCTTTCTTAAAATTTGACATTATAGACTCTATTAAATTATGTCTCTTATTGTTGTGTACATGGAGTCAGAACTGACCCCTAGCTGACCCCTCCGGTGGATTTTCAGAGGCAGTTAATCACACAGGAGGAGATGGCCCATTTTTTTCTTGAGGAGCCTCGAACTGCAAGCCTTTGGGATTGCAGCACAGCTTCTTGCCGCTAGGCCACTAGAGCTCCCTTATGTCTCTTATCGCTAATTACAAAAAAATACTTACTGAACCAACAAATAAATAAACATGTATGTCAGTGCAAATCTTATATTCCTGCTCCCCCCAACATTACTGCTGGGACACTCATCCTTCCTTTTAGTTGTTATCTGAGTAGGACCTGAAGCATTTGCTGCAGAAGGTCAAGGACTGTAGTCTTCAATATGGATTGAAGCTCAACCTCAAGAAGACAAAGATTCTCACCACTGGGCCAATTGGCAGCACCATGATAGATGGAGAAGAGACTGAGGTTGTTAACAAGTACAGCTTGCTCGGCTCCACAATCAACACAATTGGTACCAACAGTCAGGAAATCAAAAGACGAATTGGCCTGGGAAATTCTGCTGTAAGAGACCTCTCTAGAGTACTGAAGTGCAACAATGTCAGCCTAGAGACTAAGGTGCACCTGATCCAGTCATTGGTCTTCACAATTCCTTGCTATGCATCAAGAGCTGGACAACAACTAAGGATTACAGAAGAAGAATTGATGCCTTTGAGTTGTGGTCCTGGAAAAGAGTCTTGAACATACCATGGACCACCAAGGAAACAAATAGGTCTGTCCTGGAGAGGGTGAAACCAAGTTTCTCTTTGGAGCCTAGGAGTTTGAAGCTTCATCTCACATACTTTGGTTACCTGGCCAGGAAGGACTGGTCCTTGGAGAAAGACATCATGCTTGGAAAGGTGGAGGGACAGTGCGGGAGAGAAAGACCCCGGATGAGATGGATTGATAAAGTAACTGGGATAATAGGGGTGGGTGTGTTGGAACCAGTGAGACTGGCTCAGGACAGGTAGGCCTGCTTTACCATATGCAGGTGGGTTCCCTGGCTGACTATATTTTCACACTACTTATTTAATAGAAACACAGACTTGGAAATTGTGCCACTGGTCCAGCTGGAATTAGCCCAGTAGGTGAATACGCTGATGCCTCAGTTCAAATTAGCAGCTAGATATACTTCGTCTTAAGCAAAGCAAATACTTGGATTTACAAAGGTATAAGCGGTTATTCAAAGGCATTACTATGAATATCTTCAGATACCAACTTCTCCTAGGATGTTTGCAGTTACTGCATTTCTACATACCTTTTTTGTTCTTTGGAGCAAGATGTCTTTCTACTGGTATCTCAGTGAATCAGTCTGTTTAAGCACTTAGCAGGGCTTCCACACGATTATTTCTTTTGCCCTAGCTGATCCTGTTATTTGCGGCTGTTGGCATGAAACAGCTAAGTATGGCTGTTAGTTTGAGTCAGTTCTTATGTTTGATTATAACTTGTAAAACAGTGATTCCCAATCTTTTTCAAGTTAAAAGACTCCTTACCACTGCTTACTTGATTTCATGAAACTGGTTTCTTTTTTTTTTCCTCCCTAAAGGAAAAAAGGCTTTATATTTATTTTTTTAATAAAATAAAACAAAAAGAAAAGTTCTGGTAATTCTTGAAAGAAAAAAAAAAACCAGTGAGACTGGCTCAGGACGGTGCAGGGTTCAGAGCCAATGGGGACACTATGGGTCGCAGTGAACTTGATGGCACATGAGGACAATAACAACATTATCTCCAAGAGGATTTAAAGGTTAGTGAAATTGCAAGAAACTGTTACTTTCCTCTTGTGATTCTATTATATACGTGTTGCTGCTGTTATATACCATTGAGTAGGACCCAACTCATAGCTGACCTTCCAGCAGGTTTTCAGAAGCAGCAAATGACACTGGAAAGTATTGCTCATCTTTTCCCCATGAAGCAGCTGGTGAAATCGAACCGTGTTCCTTTGGGCTGGTGGCACAACTCCTTACCACTAAGTCGCCAGAGCTCTCTATTACATATATGTTGTTGTTGTTGTGTACCGTTGAGTCAGAACAAACATGTAGCTGACCCTCCAGTGAATTTTCAGAGGCTGCAAATCACATGGAAGAGATTGCTCATTCTTCTTCTATGGAGCAACCAGTGGATTCAAACTGTATGCCTTTGGGATTGTAGCTCGGCCTCTTACCACTAAACCGCCAGAGCTTCCTATTACGTATATAGGTAATGTTGTGTTGTTATGTGCCATATTGTCATCTGCAACTTGTAGTGACCCTGTGTAAAATAGCTCTGAACCCTGCCCTAACCAGAGCCAGTCTCATTAACTCTGACACACCTAATCTCTTTACCCCAGTTACTGTGTCAATCCATCTCACCCAGGGTCTTCCTTTCTTGCACTTTCCTTCCACCCTTACAAGCATGATGACCTTCTCCAAGGAGTGGTCCCTTCTGGGCATGTGCCCAAAGTATGTGAAATGGAGCTTCAAAAATCTTAGGCTCCAAGGAGAAACTTGGTTTCACTCTCTCTAAGATAAACCTGTTTGTTCTCCTGGTATTCCACGGTATATTCAAGACTTTTCTCCAGCACCACAACTCAAGGGCATCAATTCTTCTGTCACCCTTAGTCATTGTCCAGCTCTCTGATGCATAGCAAGTGATTGTGAGGACCATGGCCTGAATCAGGCGCTCTTTAGTCTCTAGACTGACATCCTTGCTCTTTAACACTTTGGAGAGGTCCCTGACAGCAGACTTCCCCAATGCAATTCATCTTTTGATTTTCTGACTGCTGGTGCCAAGAGTGTTGATTGTGGAATGCTGATATAGGTAATAGCATCAGCAAATTATCCAAACTACTCAGAATACTTCAGATACCAGTGATTTGCAATATCTGTGTCCAATTCCTTGACAAAAGACAATATACAGTTTTCAGTGTCCCTGTTCCTGTGATAGTGACACTGATGGGGAACCAGGGCCAAGATCTATGAAAACACCATTCATAGAACTCTAACCGTGGCTCTATATTCACCTAAACACCCAGATTAATGTGACTGTCAAATCACATCTTCATTTCATCCCAGCATCCAGATTCCCTTTTCAGGTTACCGTTGCATTCAGGGTCTCATCAATATTCTTTTTTCCATTTATGTGGGCAGCTCTTTTCAGTAGCTTTAGGCCTTTGTCCACATTGTTAGTGACAACCAGCCATCGAGCAGACTCCATCAGCCACCTGGGCAAAGAAGAGGACACAGGTATAATGAAGTCTCTCATTTTTTTGCCATCTAACCTTTCATTTGCATACATTTCCCCTTTCTTCTAATAAAACACATGTTTGAGTTTCACCCTGGAGTAGATAGTGACAGTCTGATTCTACACAACAAAGTGTATGTGGTGTACGTTGGTAAAGCAAGTTGTGTGGTCAGAGTTAGATATTCCCTACATTTTACCTCCAGATAGAGTTATCAGAAAGCTCTTGCAACTGGATGGAATAATTTTTACAATCTTCCAAAGCCCTTAGAGGATGCCTTACAGAATTTGTAACTTAAATTCTACCACCTTTGTAGAAAAAAATATGAGCAAATATTTTAAAGAGAAGATCTCCAGATCTGCCACTAAGTACACTGTTGTCAGCGATAAAATAATACCCACATATATCCAAAGAGGATCTGTTACTATGACTATGAATCACATTTACAGACTAACTACTGAAGTCAAATATGAAGAAATTGAAAATGTCTAACAATCTCAGATCACTTAATTGTGCTCATGCAAAACACCTTCACTTCAAGCTGTTGCCTGAACAGAAAAAGAAAACATCACATGGTTTAAATTTGTTTGAAATTAAAAACATCTAAGAATAGATTTCATGTATTGAATGCTAATGATTGAAGACCAGATAAGATCTAGAATAACATCAAAGAATAACATCAAAGAAGAAAGCAAAAGATCATTACAAAAACAGGGGAGAAAGAAAAGATCCAAATTAATGTGAAAAGAGACTCTAAAAATTGCACTAAAATGTAAAGAGATCAAAGCAAAGGAAAGAAATGCTAACGTAAAAGAAGTGAACAGAATATTTCAAAGGGCAACTTGAGAAGACTATTATAATGAAATATGCAAAGGGTGTTAGAAAATCAAAAGGGAAGATAATGCTTGGCATTTCTTACGATGAAAGAACTGAAAAAAAAAACCCACTAAGCTGTAGTACTGAAAGACTGACATTGTAAAAAAAAAAAGGCACCATGAATTGATGGGATACCAATTAACATGTTTCAAAAACAGAGGCAATCCTAGATGTACACACAAATCTATGTCGAGAAATTTGGAAGACAGCTACTTGGCCAACTGTTGGAAGATCCATATTTGTTTCCATTCCAAAAAAAGGTGATACCACAAAATGTGGGAATTATACAACAGTATTATTAAGACTAGTTATACAAGTGTTCAGGTCTTTCATTCATAGGGCCGCTATGAGTCATCTATGACTTGACGGCACTTAACAACAACAACCAACAATGAGAGAGCTCAGTTGGCCTAGTGGACAGAAAGTGATGCTACCATGCCAAAGGTGGGTGATTTTAATCTGCGGCCCTCAGGTCTGGTTTTGTTTTTTGTCAAACATTCTTCTAAGTGGCATAGCACTTGTCTGTCCATTTGCTGTACAGAGGTAACTCGTGACTGCTGTGATGCTAAACACTGTGACACTGTGTGTCAAATGCGATAATGGATATCCATGGTGGACAGTGTTTGGTGGATCAGGAGTGGCATCCACTTCTGAAACAGCTTGCCTCCGGAAACCCTATGAACTTGGAGAAATGATGAAAGTTATACAAGTGTTCAGGTCTTTCATTCATAGGGGTGCTGTGAGTCATATATGACTTACAACACTTAACAACAACAACAGCATCATTAATACTACTTTCAAATACAATCTTGCTGATGATAACGGGGAAAACTGGATGGAATTTACAGAACCTCAACCTGAATTCAGAAGAAGTTGTGGCACCAGGGATGTCATTACTGGTATCAGACGGATATTGGCTAAAAAGCAGAGAATACCAGAAAGATGTTTACTAATGTTTTATCGACTATGAAAAATAATTTGACTATGTGTAACAATGAGAAGAGTGGGGATCCCAGAGCACTTGAATGTGCTCACACAAAACCTCTACTTAAATCATGAAGCTGTTGTCCAAATAGGACAAGGGAACATTGAGAAGTTAAAGTTAGGAATGGTCTGTGTCAGGGTTGGATCCATTCAATCTGATGCTGAGCAAATAATTCGAGAAGCTGAAGAAGAATGTGGCATCAGGCTTGGAGGAAGGCTGTTCAACAACCTGTGTTATGCAGATGGTGCAACTTTGCTTGCAGAAAGGAAAGAGGACTTGAAGCACTTGCTGCAGAAGACTAAGGACTGCCGCCTTCAAGATGGACTGTATCTCAACATGAAGAAAACAGAAATCCTCACCGTTTAACCAATAGGCATCATCATGATTGATGGAGGGGGGGGGAAAGAGCTGTTAATTCTTTTACTTGGATCCACAGTCAATACCTATAGTGACAGAAGTCAATAAATCAAAAGGTGTGCTGCATTGGGAAAAATCTGTTGTCAAGAACTTCTCAGAAATTCTAAAGACTAAAGATGTCAGGTTAAAGATCAATGTGTGCTTGACCCAAGCCATGGTCTTTTAATTTACTTCCTATACATCTGAAAGTTGGACAATGAGTAAGGATGACAAAAGAAAAATTGATACCTTTTGAGTTATGGTGTTGAAGAGCATTGAATATATCATGGACTGCTGATAAAACAGACACATCCCTCTATCTTGGAGAAAGCACTGATGAAGATTTCCTTAGAGGCAAGGATGCTGAAACTTTGTCTCACATACGTTGAGCATGTTGTCAGGAGGGACAAATCTTTGGAAAAAGACATCATGTTGGGAAAGGTGGAGGGTCAGAGGAAGAAAGCAAGCCCCTCAAAGAGATGGATTGACACAGTGACTGTAGAATGGATTTGCGCCTATCAGAGATTATGAGGATGATTCAGGTTAGGGTAAGGTTCAAATCTGTTGTTCTGAGAATCTCTCTAAGTTGTGGTTGACTTGATGGCACCTAACAATACCAACAACAGCAACATTTTTCCCCCAGCAACTTTTTTAGTCTGAAATTGAACATACAGCTAAGATGTGTTTATGTGACTGGAAAGTAAGAGTTGGAAGCAAAAAAGAAGAAATGATAGTCAGAAAATATATTCTTGATAATAGAAATACACAATTAGGATATACCTTTCACTTTTTCTATAAAATGCTGGTCTATCTGATACTTCTCTAAATCTGAACATTCAGATTAAGACAGACTAGGAAGAAGGATTGGCCAT